TTTTTTTCTTTTCCTGGTGTATTTTTTTTGTATTTTTTCCCCCTAAAAAGGCAGCATCATCACTTACAAATACTTCTTTGTGCTGCATTGCTTAATTCTGATTTGCCTGATAAGATATATGCTATTGTTTAAACATCAACCCAGTAAGATGATGGGAACACTTCTGACAGTAAAGCTTGAACAAAGAATTTACCAAGTGATTTTTTACAACTTATCTCACAGACAGCTTTTTTTGTTCTCTTTCCGTAGTGTTGTTTCATGGAAATTTATTTGGAATGCAAATAAAATAATATTTGTAGAATCAAAAAGAGATTTTATTTCTTTAAAATGAAACTAGTAGCCATGACCATATTACCAAAAATATACAGTTAAAGTTATAAATTCTAAGTCTTAGAAATATATTTTAATTCAGTATTTTAGGCTTTGTTTTAATGCTTTTTCAACTTTAAAAAGTTCTGAAAAAGCCTCACATAATACCATCTGAAAAAAATAAACATTTTATTCTTTAGGGATAAAACATGCATTGATGATAAACAGTCTTCAACAGTATTAAAGAGAAACACAGGATACTACAATACAGATCTATACACAAAAAAGTTAGACCTGTAACACAAAAACATTTTTGCTTTTGTTGTGGACTTTATTCTTTGGGTTCATAATTCATAACCCATAAGGTACTGTTTTCTAACAATAACACTTTCCTTCAAAAAATCAAAGCAGTATCCTTTTTATATTTGAAAGGTTTCCATGCACTTCCAGTTTTCCAGAAGATGAACAATGGAATCATTGTGTAAAAGGATTTAAAATATTATAATGTTATATCTGTTAGCCATAAAATTTTGGACCCAGCAATGCTGAAAATTTGCTGAGCATAAGTGTTCACAGGTAAAAGCATGATTTCAAAACTTTGGGCTCAAGCTTGCTGCTCTCTCTCTGTATGCATGTCAAAAAATGTGGGAAAAAAATTCAAAACTGTTCATGAACATCCACTTGGTTTTTGCAGCCAGCTTTTGAAAAAAGAAAAGAGAAAAGAGAAAAGAGAAAAGAGAAAAGAGAAAAG